CACACCAAACCTTAACCCTAGCCACCAGAACCCCTCGTCGAAGAAGACAACCCAGCCACTGGGGAGCCGACCGCCGCCATCCGCCGCTGCACCAGAACCCTTTCCGACCACCAAAAAAGGTAAAAATTTCTCATTTTGCACGAAATTCAATTTTAATCCCACCCATGACAAAATTGGAGTGAAAGAACCGACTAATTGGCCGAAAAATACCGACGATGCCCGGTGGCGCCGCTGCAGAAAATTTCAAAAATCGCCTCCGATGAGACCCTTTCTAATTCCTGTTTCGCATAATTTTTCCACTGTTTTCTTATCTACAGGTTGATCGAAGCAAAACACCCAACCGCAATGTGAGCCAGATGAGCTGCCGCACCGGAGAGCCCCACTGCTAGTGAGTTTCAGTTTTTCGTATTTTTTCGGCCCACCGAGTCCCTTTAGCGTGTACGCTCGCAGGAATCGATGTAAAATCGGTCGAATTTGGCTGAAAACGGCCGACCTGAGGTGGACCGCCTCTGTGAATGGCGTCGCCGGAGCACAGCGGAGTCACCGTGTCGGATTTTCAAAATTGGTCGAGTGGGCCCTGAGACTGATTTTAGATTTATTTAGAATATTTATAGGTACTATAAGCGCGTTTCAGTTCTCAGAGAAAAGTTTAGGGAACCTAGGGACTGCCCATAGGCGCAGTAAATCATTTAGCTTTTCGGTATCAAATCGAGTAAGAACCCCTCACCCTATTCCCTATCATGAAATTGAAGTTTGAATAAATAATAATACGATATTTTGTATAAATTAAATAGATGTGCATAACTAATTACGAATTGCTAATGGAGTCCGAACTGGATATTGCTCTCTGTTGATTTATTTTACAGTCTAAAAGTATGATAGTATCTGATTTATCTATTTTATGGTTTAAATGCATGTATTACTGCCTTACCTGACTACTATTTGATTTGGGATTTGAGACATGATTGCATTATCGAATGCATGTTTATTTGTTTATGTGATTATATTTGATTTGGTAATGGAGACTAAGGAAAAATATGAAAGGGGTGTGATCAAATAAACAAATAGGATGACGGTCTTACTAGATGTCCTGGGAGATAGTGGACGGGCAGAGTACATAGAGAACCCTACCGTGAATGTTGTCTTATACTGGATGGGGTATGGAGACTTGGTAATTTGGTGCTCATACCGGACGGGGTACGGGGACGGCCTACTTCACCCTCATACCGAACGGGGTATTGAGGTTTAATATCTTTAGTGCTTATACCGGACGGGATATGGGGACAACCCTATAATTGAGATTGTTAAGGAAAAGGATTCACGTGTAGCGGGGACACCCCTATGAACCCCCATGGATACTAGTAGGCTGGTGAAACGAGAAACGGTTATGATTTGGTTTATTGTTAATGAATATGAATTTATAATATGTTCTATGTTGCTGATTGTTCATGAAGTTATGATCTGTATGGTATTATTGTCTCTATAGGTTGTTTTCATAAATTTTACTATGGGAAGTGAATGGTAAATGATTTTATAATTGATAAACGAATTTGCTAAA